GATTCAATCACCCTATCTCATGTCTTTTTTTCATTTGATCTTGGAGCTTATTTCAGCTATACTACATTACCTCTTGGGCTGTTTCTCAGACACAGAGACTGCCACAAAAGTGGTGGAGGAAAAAAACATGAGCCATAAAACTGAGATTTGAGAATAGATCTGAATATTGCCAAACATGAGAGCTCACCTTTGAGAGATGAAGGTTGCAGAAAACAGGTTGCAGAAAACAACCCCTTGATGGGTTCTTATGACTGATAATAATGTTGAATAAAGAAGACAGCAGTGTGCTTCTTTTGTTGACTTCTTGCCTTCTGGTCTTCTAAAGACACTCCACTTTGAAAGTAAGTTCTGCAGAAGACAGGAAACAGATTTATGAGCATGTGGCAAATTAAACAATGCAGATGAACCTTTTATTCTTTTTAATCTTTCCAGTAGATCTATGCATTTTTCAAACAAATTGCCCAAAGTTATTTTGCTCACTTTAAAAAATATATGTGTGTGTGTGTGTATATTTATATATATATATGTATTTTTATATATATATTCATATATATGCATATATATTCATTCATATATATGTGTGTGTGCATATATATGCATATATATAAATTCTGGCAAAGCGTACCAGTAAAAAACAGTAAAGACAGTACTGCCTAACTCAAACACCTTTTTTTTTTTTTTTTTTTTTTTGAGATTAAATGCATACAATTTTTTTACTGTAGTTATGGTTGACATGGGAATCCTTTCCTTCAGCCATAGTTCAATATCATGGCTACAGAATTCGTTCAGTGTGTGAGACTAATTACAGTGGGAACCACAGACCTCTTCTACAGTTAGAGCAGGTTTTGTTAACACTGGAACACATCATTTATATCTAATAGGGGTTAATGTCTCCTCGAAATTAGTTACCAGAATAGAATATGATATATAGAATATTCTATATATCATATAGAATATAGAATATAATAGAATATAGAATATAATAGAATATGTGTGTTCCTTATCCATGCCAGCACCACTATAAGTTTAACTATAAGCTTAATCAGGAGCAGGAAATTACAAATGTAATGTAATTCTGCTCTCCTACCACTACATGCATTACCTTTTAACTATTGCTTAGGATTTGATATAAACTTTTTCTCCTCATTGGTAAAAACAGAAACTGGGTAGCAAGTGAGAACTAGACCATACTTGTTGGTCTTAGAAATGAGATGAGAATGTTTATTAACATTAACCTGTTAACATTAGCCTCAGCCTAAATAATTTTCATTTATAATATAAATTATGGCATATATCAATAAAATAAAAAAGTATTGGTAGGGGCTAGGTACTGCACATGTGAAAATAATGTCCAGATCTCTACTGTTATGCTTTGCTAGCCCTTGCTCTTGCATCTTTCTGTGAAATTTCAAGTGGTGACTGCTTTATGGAAGAAAAAGTGCTTCTCCTCCATCCAATTAGACATGCAAATGTTTCTGTTAGTGGTTTTCCTAAGAGTCTATTCTTCAGGAATGAAAGAAATATAAAATAGCATGGCATAAAGCAGAAACATACAGTGAAAAAAAAATCTACAATGCATAATCATTATGTTACAATAAAATACGTCTGTTACATAAGTGAATCTTGTTTGTTATTTTTTTCCCCTGGAGTTTTATTGTCTTTTCTTTCTTTAGATCTGGTGATTTTAATTAAGTAGTCTTAACTTATCATTATTTTTATGATCTTTTTTGCTTTTTGTAGGCACTGTACACAAAGTAAACAAATAAATGAAAGAAATATCCTTATTATTGTTACTTAGTTTAAAACTAAGCCCTGCTATCTGTTATTATCTGATAAGATTTATCTAGATCCACCACCTGAATATAGAAAATCTCTGCTTGAAACCAAATGTGGAATTTAAGCAGATATAATGAAATTAAACATTATCTCCAAGCACTTAGAAAACAGTATTATTGGGACTTAAAGGGATTATGTCTCACCTAAAAGAAAGCACCTGCTGTAGCAATGATTTCCAATAATGATCAAAATTAATCCTTTGGTTGACAACCAACACAAATCCTATACATAGTTTAAAAGCTTAAAAAGCCATTAAGCAGGACTCTACATCAGTAGAAGTGTGATTATTGTGCTGATCCTGTGCTCAGGTGAAAACTTCTTACCATGTACTGGAGCATTTCTTCAGTGCTGAATGAAATCCCTATGCTCAAAAGTAGAGCATGGGGGTTCCCTTTGCTATATCACTTCCATAAGTGCCCCATGAATTTCCTAGAAGTCCTATTATTTATGTTCTACCTACACTTAGTTTATGGCATCTTCCCGACAGGTTACTAGCTGAGGAAGTTTGGTTTGTGTGCTGATGTATGGAATCAAGATCAAGAAACATGATGAATCTGTAGCTCAGAAGACAGCAATTTTCAATTCATAATTGAAATTTCAGTTATTACATGAATCCCAACTGACTCATCAAAGAGACAGATTTATGTCTTTTGTACAGAGCCTGGAATTTGGTCTCTTATTATGAATAGGCACCATTCTTCTGTAAGAAATAAACAGTTTACATCACCTGATGAAGTCTGATCATTTTATAACCATTTGCTTAATGGTTGCTTGTTACACTGGAAAATAGCACGTTATCTCTTGAAAAAAAAAATCAAGTACCTGCTTGTACATTCTGAAAGAATTCTTAACTTTTATTGAACATACAATAATCCACTTGTGCATCAGCTTTTGCACAGAGGTTCCAAACACTGAATTTACAGATACCGAAACACTCTCAGAAGTACACCAGTATTTAAAATCTGTATACCCAGCCAAAGTGTTTTTTCATTTTCTATGTTACTGTAAGTAGTAGTGAAGATACAGGCTAATTTTTCAAAGCCTGGTATATTCCAAAGACTTCACAGATTTAAAATCTCCAAGAAATTAGGTGGGAGTGTGCTTTGGCTGCTTAAAAAAAAATAATAATAAAAAGAAAATTGATTTTTTTTTAGGCTTTCATTTATTGATTGACAGCTTAACATTTATCAGCTCAAACAGCTTACGTCTGCCAATATGTGAAGTGATATTTTAGAGGTCAAGCTTGTGCACCAGGTGGTTTTGTTTGCATTTCTAAAAGTGATCTTTACTGGGCCATCATTATCATCATTTACCTGTTTTGAGGACTCAGGACATATATATACATATATATACACAGTGACAAATAACTGTTAGAAAGCTCTACTTATAGCCTTTATCCATAATGTCTGAATAATAATAAGAAGAAAAGCAGCAATTGCTGTGATGATATCTCTATTCTTTCTAATTATATAAAGTAATTTTAGCTATAATATTGCTGTTTCCTTTTCTCACTGTGTCACCAGGAACTTTGAAATATGAACGAAACTACAGATGTGATCCATGTAAACAAGCTCTGATAATAATCAGCAAAATCACGTTAAATTCTTATGTTTTAAAGGTGTTTGCAAGATGTAACAGAGATGTTTCCTTTTCAAGTTTACTGGCTTCCTTTGCCTTTTGCTGTTACCTGCCCAAGCAGAAACTTCAATAAAACTTAAAGGCAAAAGAAAGAAAAAAATGAAATAATGGAACCAAAAAAAAAAAAAAACCAAAAAACTTTGAGGGTAAAGAAAAATATGAAACCATGAAATTATAAGTGAAATTATGAAAACAACACCAAACACACGGACTCCACAATTTTTCCCATAAGTATGATAACGAAGTGTTAACTTGCAACATTTGATATAGACTAACCCACATGGTAAATCCATATTCCCACTCAACAAAGAGTTACCAAAATAGATGAGTATCTGTGTACTGCTTGACAAATGGTGTTTCCTACACTTGACAGTTGTTAAAAACATTTGATAACACTATGCAATCTCTGGCATTGTTGTACAGAGAAAGCTTCAGCTATTTCCTATGACTGTATTTATAATTATATTTTCTTTATACTGAATTGTCTGTCAACTTCTGATTTTGTAAATCATTTTCATATTGCAGCTGAAAAATTTCTAAACCACTGTCAAGGAATGACATACAAAGTCAAAAGACAAATGCTTCATCAACTGTGAATAATGATCCTACAAATCTGCATTTAAAGGGTAAAGAAGTTATGAAGAGTAAAACATCAAACCACAGTGGCTGATTACTTACTGCTAACTAACAGAGATTGACCATGTGTAACACCTGATAATTTTCATGTGTAGCCAGAATAAAAGTAATTATCAAAGGGAAATATAAAGACTTTCTTGAACTGGAATTTGTACCAAGTGTACTTTTTGTTAGTGTGTTATGCTACTTCTATGGGTAGACTGATTGGACAAGTTGTCATTGATTTTGAAGCTGATGTGAATGAAGAGCAATTATTCCTTTTATTTTAAACTGAAATCAGTTCACAGAAGTGGGTTTATTATCTCAGCTAAGAAGATAATCTCCATGAAGGTAATAGAAGGAAGGAAAGGCAGCCAAATCTTTGGCTGGAGAGAACATTTCATCTGAACCATTGGCAAGTGGGACAATCTGCCTGGCTGTAGCCTAATTCAAAATGATACTTAATTTTTCTATAATTATTAACTTAAATAAATGTGGTGGAATTTTTTTTAGATCATTTCCAGTACCATGGAGTAAAGTTGTCTCTGTTGTCTGTTCAAAAAATAATCCTTGAATCAAATTCTAATCAAGTAAAAACAAAATTGCTTTTCAGGCTGTGAATCCATGGAGACATAGGATATTCACTGTGTTTTGTGTAGTACGTGATATGATGGCCCTTCTACCAGACAAAAACTCCAATGCACAATTACAAAATAAATAATAAACCTTTGCAATTTTCTCTCTCCCTCTTAATGGTCTACTTTCATGTTAAGATTATGTGGGTGAAGAGGAAGGCTATTTATTTATCTTATTTTCATTTTAATAACTAAAATCACTTTTTATTTCCCTTTCTTTATCTTAAATAATATTGAGCTTGAGGATTTCATGCTTTTTCCCTCCCTGTCTCCTAGGAAACCGATCTCATGACATTTAACATCTCAATGCACCGATCTTGGTGGCGGGAGCACGGGCCCGGCTGCATACGAAGGGTGGTGCGTCCTTCTTCTCCTGGCATCCTAGATGATTACTCCTACGTCTCTGTGACAGGCTGCATAATTGATTTCCAGTACCTAGAGGTTATTCACAGTGCTATCCAAATACTCCTCTCCGTAAGTACCAATTTTCTCTTGTACTCGGACTCAAGCCGTTTTTCCGCATTCAGTCATCAGTTGTTGTGTGCCTCTTTCCTGACAAGGTGATGTAGTGGTTGATCAATAGCAGCATGGATTTGGAATTGTATTGTATTTTGAATTAGAGAATGAGAGTCACATTATTAAAATGTACACTGCTCTTCTCTTTGCTTACGACAAAAGTGACAAAGTGGCATAGTCCCCATTCTGGCCTTTGCTAGGAGAGGTGAAAACTATTTCAAATTCTCATCTGTCATTCATTGAGACATACTGAAAAGGAGAACAGACTTGTCCAAAATCAGTTGGCCTAAACTTTTCCAAAGTTCACAATCAATGATGGTATTTATTCAGTCCTGACTGTAAATATATTTTACTTGACACACAGGTAAGATTCTCCCAAAGGGAGATATGAATGTGACACTTGAAAAAAGTCAGGGAAATATTAGGAATGGGAGTGCTCATGTATATTTAATGACATTATCTGTTCTTTCCTGGGTCTCTGGGTTATCAGAATACTCTGCCTTCATGATCTACTTTTTGCTGTTGCAATACTAGTAAAAAAATGCAAGCACTAGAAGTCATTACAAAAAGTATGCTGTCTATTGCATGGTCATTGAGCCATGGGACAATGGGCACCTGAGGGTTATGGGCAATTCAAAGAAGCACTGGGGCTTGATGAATTACTCTGGGAGCAGCAGCCAAGTCTTGTCCACAGTTTTTCCTCATTTTGGTAGCAGGTTCTGCTTATGCTCAAAATCTTGACTGGCACAGACTTTGTGTGATTTAGAAGTAGTACCTCTTTCTTGGTTTCTTTCTCTACATAGCTGAGTGTAGTACATAGCAAATGGTTCACACCATGTGGGTGCACATGGTTCTGATATGCCTTAGATATCTGCACCTATTCTGAGAACACAAATGTTCATGGTTCATGGTTGTAACTATGACCTCCAGTGCTTGGCAGACAGTCAGAGAAGAGTTGTGGTCTAAAGTCCACACCTGCTCCATGAAAAAAACTCCATGGTCTGATCAACCAGATAGGCTGGATATTCCTGGTCTACTCAGTATTTCAAGATGTTTTACTAACTGACTTGTAAGTCCTTTACTAACAAAGAAAGAGATTCGAGATTTTAAGCTTATTAGTTTAAAATTATGTCTAGATTTTAATTTTTACATTTTCTCAAGTTAATGACATTTATATTCTGAATGAAAAAAAAAAAAAAAATCAGTGTACATGTTGGGACAGCTTGCATGCCTGGAATGATGTAATAGAAGTAACAGGCTCTTCAGGAGAGAAAGGCAGAGAAGAAGGGGAGGTAAGTAGCCCTGTATTTTAAGGAATGCCTTGACTGCATTGACAGCTGGGAGATGTTGATAAAAAGGGCTGAGTGTCTCTGGGTAAGAGTCAGGGAAAGGGCAATAAGACAGATATTATGTTGGAAGTCTGTTATAGACCACTCACACAGGGTGAAAAGGCAGATGAAATCTTCTATAAGCAACAAGAAGTCTCATGATCACCAGCCCTTGTTCTCTTGGTGGACTCCAACTTCCTAGATGTCTGCTACAAATAAAGTAACACAGAGTGGAAGCAGTCTAGGAGATTCTTGGAGTATGTGTAGGATAGCTTACTCACACAGGTGGTGAGGGAACCATCTAGGGAAGGTGCTTCACTTGACCTATCCTTGCAAACAGGGAAAGACTTAGGGGTGATGTGATGGCTGGAGGCTGTCTTGGGCACAGCAATCATGAAATAGAGTTTTTGATCTTTGGTGAAGTAAGATAGGGGTTAACAGAGCTGTTACCTTGGATTTCTGGAGGGCAGACATCAGCCTATTTAGAAGTCTTGCTGACAGGGTCAGGACCTAGATGATTTCTATTATCTATCATAGATCTAACTGTCTAGAACTGCCTAACCGTCTAGAACACAGTAGTGTTCACAGTCTAAAACTCTTGAAGTTTTAGACTTCTCAGCATTACTAAAGGATGCTTTTGTAAGATGCCAAATATTATTGTCTTACCACTGCTTTGAGTCAAAATTTAATAAACTTTGATCTTACAGCAGTGATTAGTGAACTTCCACTTGAAAGTCCAGACCTGAACTAGTGCATTTTCTTAGTTCACCAGTGACATCACAAGTGCTTCCATATCACATGTGCCTTTTCCAGCTTCTCGGGCACTAGCAACATCACAGGCACCTAAACCAGCCTTTTCCTGAGTGTTGTTCAGTCAGAAAGTAAAGACTTTGAGTCAAGATATTTTTCAATGAAGATAAAATTACTTCTCTTGAGGCTTAGTCCTGTATGTGTCGACATACATTGTGAAATTACAATGCAAGCAGGCTTTGGAAAAGAATATTGCACACTGCAACTTCAAAGCCTGATAGAGTGTAGCTTTCTTACTCTTGTGAGGGTTTGATACTTTCTTACTGTTGTGAGGGTTTGCCTCTCCCATCAGGTCCATCTCTGCATCTGCAGAAAATTTCCCTCACAGTCCTCTGGTTTTGCCCATACAAGGGAAACTGTAGTATGGTCTATTTAATAGGAAAAAAACATTAATATTTCCAAATTATATTTATATAAATTATTCATCACTTCTATAGGAAAAATGTATTGTGATATTCAGAATTTTTTATAGATTTTTTGTGATTTTTTTGTGATTTGATCAAAAATTTTTTGTGATTAAATTTAGAGTTCAGTGGAAATACAGCTGGTGGTTGAAATCAAGAACAGTTTTCTTCTCTGCTTATCCAGTGTAATAAAATTCAGCTCAAAATGTACCAAATGACAAGAACACAGATAGAAATATTATAATAATAGAATAAAAGCATTTAATATATATAAACTTAATGAAATATACATATGGAAAAATAGAAAAACTATGTAATAATTTGTTCAGCTTTATGTAAACCATAAAATGTTCATTCCTTGTTGTGTGAATGATTGCCTGGAACAGTCATAAATAAATTCTGTATACAATTCATTGCAAGTTCAAAATGTGCCAGGAACTTGTAAGGCTTGACTGGGAATTAAATAGTTGCAGTTTCAGATATTGTTTTTGACTGATATACACAATGTTAAAATATGCGAAGTAGGGTTTTCCTCCAGTCTTATTATCTTCCTTATTCCATCTGTGAGGCAGTGTGATTAGCATATGAGTCTGTACTTCAATTTCCATTCAGAATTGTAATTTAGCCTTGCTTAATTTACTGTCCCACAAAATATAAGTCACCACCTAGATTATCAGACTTGCTGCAGTTTCCTCACATTTTCTGAGTACTGTTGACCTGAGGAGGCTCCCATTCATTTCAGATGCATAACTGTTTTCCTAATTGGGATACTAATTTCAGTTGTTAGTTAAAAGGTCATTTAGGTTGTCTTTTTACAGTACTGAAGAATTACTAGATGGCCAGACATGTAGATCAGAAGGCCTGTGTTGTTTTTTTTTTGTTGTTGTTTGTTTGTTTTCGTATTATCTAGTCCCCACAGTAGACTTTTCCTTTTTGGACCTTAAAATCTACTTAATTTTCATAACTTTTTTTTCTTTTTTTGGTAGCAGTAGGAGTGTAACAAACCATTTTACAGTATAACAAAAACTTTATTGGCATAACAAATCATTTTATCATGCTAATTGTTGTCCAAATGACTGGAAAGGTGAGCATTTCCAATTGATAGGGAGTCAAATATCCCTCCAGGGGCAAATATCAGATACCTGTCCAGATATATAATCTGCTGTGTTTGTCCAAAAAAATAAATGAAATAAAAGGTGTATATATATATGTATATATTTATATGCATAGAATGCTGCAGCTGTGACTACATTAGACCCTACTTCAGGTAATAGACTATATGGCAGTTTATTTCATTCTAATACACTAAGACTCCTTTTGTATTTGCTCTTTAGTTGTTTCCAAAGAAAATATCTTTTATCTGTGAAACAGTAACTTTCTATCTCGTCCATATTTTGACCAGCTATTGAAATGATTGAGTATTGAAGATATTAAGAATTTCTGTAGACTGATGAATAGTCAAGAGACATATGGGAGAGTGGGATGCAATTAATAATAACAAAATAGATTTAAGTTGTGTGTTTAAAATATACATTTATTTATTGTATAGCACATATTCTTGTGATGGGTAAGTCTTTTCACACAGCACCTTTAATTTCAAAATGCAAAATATGTCATCTTTATTGAAATCTGAATTTTTGGAGAATGAATGGTTATTATAGTCAAAACAGTGAGTAACTTTAAGAGAAGACCTTGCAGAAAGTTTTGTATTAGACCCTGAGACTTATATCACAGAACATTTGTCTACAGCTTCACTGTGAAGCAGAGACCCTCAAGCCAAGGTTCATGGAAGTAGCTCTGGAATTATCAGCATTATAACTTCATCAGTACTGAAAAAGCAAAACGAATTAATTTTGGCAGAGTGACAGGCTGACACTATAGTGCTTCAGGGGGTAGGAGTTGTAACCTTCTTGTGATGCTGCATTGAACAAAGTGAGTTTAACTTTCCACCAAAGTCCCAGCACACTACTCTTCACTGTACAGAAGAGCCATATCTAATATCTAGAACCCTGAAGACAAGATAATTGAAAAATTGAAAACACTCAAAGCATTCAAGCTGTTTGGCATGTTGCTGCTGACCAAAATCAAGGTATTTTGAAGAAAATCTCTGTTTTACTTTGCAGAGGTCCATCCGGTGGCTCTTGTCAATCAGTGTCATGTATAGCTCCTAGGTGACCACTGGACTACATATGAGGAGCAGTCACAAAATAACAGCAACAAAACAAAACAAACAACCATAAAAACAAACTAACCAACAAAACACACCTTCAGAGTCACCTGGTTTTCAATACATTATAAAGACAGGCAAGGATGTGAATTAAAGAGTCTTATCCATAGAGAGGAGCTGAAAGCAGTGAACATACCAGCCTAAGGTAAAGTCAGTCACTAATCAATGGAGAATAACTTATTTGCTAAC